TAAGTAACTAAGAATATAGATAAGAATGGGGATGAGAAGCAGAACTCAGAGAAAGGAGATGAGAAGCAGAGTCTTGAGCCGAAGCTCCAACATAATTCGTATGCTTTTCGCTGCCCCACTTTGTGCTATTTATTAATCTCCCCATCTCACGTGCTCCACAGGGGTAAACTTGTCCAATAGGTTCATAACAATACCCCGTCCTCAAAAAGAACCTTGTCCTCAAGGTTCAAGTAGAGCAACACTGCAATCTTAGCATTGACCCTTGTGTCTGATCTCTTTTGCTTGGAATTGAATTCTAAATTCAGAAGTCCACCTGGGTCAAACAGAAATCGAGGCGAATCCACAGTAATCCCCGACATATTTTTGTCTAGCTTAGCACAATGAAGTTGGTTGTGTACTTGCACCTCTTGATGCAGGGATGAATTACTTGTGTTCCAACCAATTGATTGTGACTTTGCTATCTCTCCAGCAGTGGCCTCATCTTGTTGGCCTGAAGACCTCCCTACGTTAGTCTTCTCTTGAAGCTGCTGAATAATATTGTTGCCCTTAGATCTTGCTAATACATAATACTTTGTCACTTTAAAGTCCTTAGCACCTGTACTCCTTATACTTTGCAGCATACTAGCCTTGCCAAGTCACTTCTCAACCATATCCATATTCTCCGGTTCAAATTCAAAAGTAGCAAATGCACGTCTTGAATAGAGTGTACTGACACTATAATCCCTTCTTCCTAACATTCTATTGCTTTCAGCAGACAATGCTAATAGCAGAACAATGAGTCTTTTTCTCCAAGGCAATATAGCAGCCCTTGTTGCCAACTCTGTCGAGTGTGATGAGATATCTCTCTGCCGGCCAGGATCCCACACTCTAGTCATAAAAGCAGAATATGCACATAAGCAAAACTTGCCAGTAGATCGCAGCAATAGTTGTGTCTCCAAGGTACCTGTATGACCATTTAGATTCATGATCTTGGGATTGATTCCTGGATCCCATATGCAAATAACAAGTACAGTTCCACCAAGAGTAACAATATACAGATTACCAACAAGAGCAAATGGAAAATGATGCAACTTTAAAGCTCCACGACTATCTAAGGCATTCCCTGGGAGGTTAGAGGTGTTTCTACTGCCACAGTTAATTACACCAGAACAAATTACAACAGAGAAGAACCATGTATCACTCAAAATATTTTGAGTTAAGACTCTTATCTTTAGAAAATGAAGGGCACAGTCCAATTTCGCACAGACAAGAGCTATGTCAGCATATGGATCCCAGATTTGTTGTTCATGTAACATTGTGTAGTCCCATGAATGATTTCCATTATGTTTCTTCTTTTTCATTCCTGCTGCAGCAACCCACGTAGAATCATAAATTCTTGGAGGAGACAACTTGAGAGTTGCCGGAATAACACCGCCCTCCTCAACACTGGACCAAACAGCAGAGATGGTGTACGTCGCAGTGCGAAGACAGTTGGATGAGTATTGCTGCACATCAGTAACACCCCATTATTGAACCAGCTTGTCTATGCCTACACCAACACTTCCATGGAATATAGCTCGAAAGATGTGGCCCGATGCTGTGGCAACAGTTTCAGGAAAAAATGCTAGCGATTCTACTAACAATATTCCTTTTCCTCTAAGTAGTCTCTTCCCTAATGTTGATTCCATGAGAATATCAGGCGCCAAGCTGCACAACACATCACATAATGCACAATTTCTTGTACCTCCAAGGTATGTGGTAAGAAACCTTGAACCAGGATCAAAGGGAAGGATTCTGCCTATAGGTTGGTCGTGACTGAAAGCAGTAATCATACATGGTTGTGCTAGTTGATCGTCAAACATGACAAGGTGACTGTACGCATAGTTAACTATGAAAACTGGTTGAAACATTTCATCGAACACCTGGGTTTCAGGACTCACTGAGCTATTCGTCACGAAATCTGCAGCTTTCATGCCAATTTCCTTACCAGTTATTTCAACAACCACCTTGCAGGCATTTCTTCTTGAATTGTTATTCTCAGAATTCTCCACAGGGCTGGAGAGTACTTTATCCAAAGCAAAATCAGCCTCTGATTCTGTGGTAACAAGAAGTGCTGAGACTTCCTCTGATTCACACTTATCGTCCAAAGACACAATCACGTCTGAGTGCACTGGAGCATCAAGGATCGCCTTGGAGGAGGTAGAGAGCGTGTTCTCCATGTTGTCGAGGTATCTGAGCATACGAGCATTATTGTCCATCATCACCCTTAGCAAATCCTGGATGACGTTTAGATGATAATGGATAATAGTAGAAGAGTACAGATCCATGGAGTCCGAATGATGAAAGCACCAATGTAACAATACCGAAATTACTCACTATATAATAAGAACTGGAACACTGATTACAACCTTGAGATATCAATTACAACACTCAAACTATTATAATGAAATTAAGTAACTAAGAATATAGATAAGAATGGGGATGAGAAGCAGAACTCAGAGAAAGGAGATGAGAAGCAGAGTCTTGAGCCGAAGCTCCAACATAATTCGTATGCCTTTCGCTGCCCCACTTTGTGCTATTTATTAATCTCCCCATCTCACGTGCTCCACCGGGGTAAACTTGTCCAATAGGTTCATAACTGATGGTGGCATGAACCGCAATTTCTTTTAATGTACACCTTGTAATAATTAATATATAATTTGTTCGAAACGTATTCATTCTTTAGTTTATTTGGACAATTTAATAGGCATTTTTTATTGACAAATATGAACCTTACATCTCTTTCTCAGACTCTACTTGTGGAATTTCACTAGGTACGTTATTGTTGTATGAAAATTATGTCTTAGACATCAAGAAGCAAATGTAATTAGCATTTTAAAGAAAGGATCACATCTTTATTATTAACAGTAGAAGTAAAATCAATATTTTCACTAGGGAACTACATTCTTTTTC